TCTAGAATGAGATTAGCATTTTTCATCTTCTCTGTTCTCTGTTGTATTCCTGTGCCTGTCACATAGTAGGTGCTCAATAAACATATGTTGACTAAAGGACTAAAGTTCAGCTTGGGGTGCTGCCCAATGGCATCAAGATGTTATTATGGCCAAAGAATACAGGAACATCTGAATCTCAGTCCAGACCACAGACGTCTTTCCCAGGTCCATAAGGAAGATGTATGCACAAGAAACAATCCAAAGCCAAAATTAATGTAATGTGTTATTGCCAGCTGACCTGGGCTCCAACCCCTCAAGGGGCTCTCTGGTAAGCTGGGCTAGGCCAGGTGGCCTCAAGTGGGGGCCTAGAGGTCTCTACCACCCCAAACCATATTTCCAATCTTATCTCCCTGAACCATCACCTGGAAAGGAAGGGCTTCTTACTACTGTGCTGTGTGTGTGAGAGAGGAGAGCGTGAGAGGGTCCCATTCAGTAGGGAAAAGGGAGAAGGCAAAGGGTCATACTCACGCCCTGACCTCTAGGGGGCAGTGAATCAACAACTTGGAATCTGACCAGTCCAGTTAGTGAGACCTTTTCCTTAAGAGGGGTGGGGCAGAATAAAGACCCCCACCCCTCCTCAGGTCCCATACACCATACTGTATGCACACCATTGCTTTTGGATCCTTTATGGAAATCTAAGCATTGCCTTGTGTCACTAAAGACTATCTAAGCATCATGTGAAGAAGCTGTTGGATATTCCATTCTAAGGAGTCAGGGGCTTCCTGTAGGGTGAGAGTGAGGGTCTCGGGTGGGGAGGACAGGAGAGGCAGAGGGGCCCCCCCTCATAACACTGATTCCCTTGGTCCATCACCCCTCACTAGGTTACCTGCTTCTCAAAACAGATGCTGGCTCACATCCAGCTCTGTGTTCCCGGCGTCTATTATCGTGCCTGCCTGTCGGCATCAAGGGACGAACAAATGTTTGTTGAATGAACAAATTAATGGAGATGTTTTTGCATACAAAACATGATATGTTGCTTAAAAATTCAATTTGTGCTCAGCTTTTCAGATGCACATCTGTTTGAATAGCTGGTTATTTTAATTACATTCAGCTTTTTCTGTGTGGCATTTATGAAGTGGACTGTGGCAGTAACATAATTAAACTAATCAGTGTAGGAAGCTAGATAGGATTATCCAAGGTAGACTTGGGGCCTCAACTATGTGATATGGTTACCACTATTCAGGACAGATTAAGTGGCGATATGGTCCAATGAGATGATAGAGTTGCTCAGATAAACTCCCAAGTTTGAATCCTAGCTCTGCTCCTCACTACCTCTGTGAACTTGGGCAAGAATCAAATTCTTCATCTGTTATATGGGAAAAGTAATACCCACTTCCTAGGATGTGAGGCTTATGAGTGATGGCATGCGTAAATAAGAGGAATATTCGGTAGGATTACTCTAATTTCAGGTAAGGTCATTGTTGAATCCAAATCTTTCATCAATATGAACTCGGGCTGAAGACAGGTAAGTTGCTTTAGA